GACCTCATTGAAGTATACAAGTATAATCATGGGTTGTACAAGGTCCCAGAAGGATTACTAGAATTTGAAACAAGAACCAACACCAGGGGCCACAGCTGTAAACTTAAAAAAACTGCGGTGCAACTTATCCACGCGACAACATTTTTTCTCGCTCCGAGTCACTGATATGTGGAACAGCCTCCCTGAAGATATTGTTGACGCTCCGAGTATGAACGCGTTCAAGAACAGACCAGACAAGGCCATGCATGAGCATATGTTTAGTCTTAAAATGCCTCGTACCCTACGGAACAACTGATATCTAGAAGCGATTTTTAATCTACCGTCCGTTGAAAAGATCTGATCTAAAGGCCAGTCTAGTCAAGAAAAGTACAAGAATCTACGACAGGCCTATCCAGGCCCATTCTTTAATGCCGAAGATACTATACTAGGGCAAGTTTCGTTCGTTTTTATTGTTACTGAACTGTTTGAGTAGATATACCAGCATAAATTATAAAAAGATTCTGACCCATGCACTCACTTCGATAACAGCAGTGAAGTGAGTGTTGGTAACCCCCTCAAGTCTGGCGCGAAAACGTAACTACGTTACCATCATATGTTGGTAAATGAAGTCGAAGCAACGTTGATTATACGGGTTGAATACGGTGAAACAATCTTTAACTAACGTTATTTCAACGTCAAATGTCTAGTTGGATATAACGTCTGGAGGACATAGCGTTCCTTTGTTAATTGAAGAACAATTTGCTGACAACATTTTCCCCGCAGCGTCTGCAGTTGAATCCATACCGCCTTATTTTCCTCTGCCCTTGAGGCACAAGTTGATGGCCACACGTTGACCGCAGTTTCTGGAGCTGAATCCTGAAACTGAATTCTCTTTTGTGTACTGCAATACAATTTTTTTACCAAGCTTAAATCACAGAGCTGGAAGTCCAATCCTTCTGCAGTATTTTCCTTTGCCCCTTGAAGGACAAACTCTACAGGCCACGTTTGCCTATACAGCCACTGCATCACCTAACCTTCTGTTGCGGTGCAGCACAGCAGCAGTTGCAAACAGGCGCGCGTATGAGATACACGCATGGTCCGCTCCTCTTTAGTCATCATTGAGTTCATTATTATTGATTATTTTCTCCCATCTTTTGCTTTAATTGCTTGGTAGCCCTTTAGTTATAATCTATCATTATTAAATATTTAAATTCCAAATAAACAAACAAATTACAAGATAAATTAAATAATGATTAAAATAGATAAAGATTCAATAAGAATCATATATAAGTAAAAGTGAAGCAAAATAATTTGCGAGCAATTATTATTACTTGCTTTGTAGTAAGGTAGTTAATTATCTTATACCAGTGGACAGCTTACGAAAGTGAACATGGAGGTTGCAGAGAAACTGTGCAACCGTTTCCAGTGACTGTACCGTTGAATGAGTGTTATTTCCACGGGATTTGGGGTTACTGACTGAACTTTGCGTTTCTGAACTGAATAATTGACGTCATATTTCAGATCATAAATGCGAGCGAAATTAAACAGTAACATGATCTTACTGGTATTATTTGTGATCAATGTATAGGCGCTGACTACGTCCCGACATGAGCACCGTTCTCGTATAATCTAGTTATACTTTTTAATGCTCTAATATATGGTCCAGAAGTAACTTATGGTGATTTTTTAGCGATAAACTCATACAGTAAAAGGGCAACGTATAGGGAGTTTTACCATGAAACTAAAAGTATTTTACGCCCAGGAGGTAATTCTTGAAATTCCCGACGACATGGCAGTGAGTTTTTTAATTTAATTCTATAATATAGACATCTATGAAGCTATGCAGCGATGAAATTATTTATGAAATGAGCAACATGATAACTGAAATATTTTAATTTAGTAACAAAGTGAAAAGGTGTTGTAACCTATATATGATCTTAAGCCTGAATGGGTGCAAATAATTATTCCATTGCAGTTCATATCATCGGCAAGGCATTAACTAAAGAGCCTCGGTTCTACCTCGGACAATGATCCCTCACGAAGAGGGATCACTATGATCCCTCATGATCCCTCACGAAGAGGGATCACTATGATCCCTCGTGATCCCTCACGAAGAGGGAAAGTATAAAACGCCTGTGCAGGGCTTTTTCAATTGCTCTATTTTTTTATTTACCAGATGCATCAAAATTGAAGAATTTAGAAATAGTGTAGAATCTAAAACACTAAACTTGTTTCAAGTTTGACTGAAGACCAGAGCATGCTTTTCATTTATAATCTTCTTAATCGTTTTTTCAATGAGTCGAACAAAATTTCTTGCTGGCGCCGGGAGATCAAAAAGTAAGCTAACAAATGACATTGTAATGGATTGCGACGTTTCGAAAAAACAATTTTCATTGTCAAGCTGTGAAGGTTTACAACACTTGAAATTGAACTTTGGAAATGACAGTAGAATATATCAATGGTATAGTGGATACAATTTAAAATATTAGCTTAAAATTACTCTGAAAATAATTTCAGCGTCCGGACAAATCCTGTAGTCTGGAGGTTGATAGCTGGAGACTCGTCCTTGTTAATGAGGGCCTCAGCTATCGCCAGTCTCGATGGGTCAGGGCACCGCATAACTATGCTGGTGCAGGCCTCCAATGTCGCACGGGTGATGGTCTCATTGTGGGCCTCCCGCATGTGGTTCTTAGGTCCTCCAGATTGTAGGTGGCATGTGAGTCGTCGGATTAAGGTCGTGCTGGTAAGACCAATGTAGTTTATATTTTGAAGAAGTCTACAGCCTTCTTTATTACATGAGAATTTATAAACAACATTAGTTTCTTGAAGCAGACCAGATTTTTTACAGGGATTATTATTCATTACAAGGTTTTTAATTTTCTTGTTTTTTGTAGTACTCGTAGATCAGAAGTTTTATATTTTTGTTATCCGTTGTGCTCTTGATATTATTATGGATGATTGACTGTAGGACTCCTTCATCAACTTTGTAGCCTCTGTTCATCTGGTTTTGGTAGAAGACCGACCAACGCAATTGAAAAAAAAACTAAATCGCGAAATTTGTCCGGAAAAAAACCTCCTGGCCTTCTGGCAACCCTGGACTACATTTTCTAGTAGTTAGACGAAAACGTGTCAGACTGGGCATCAGTGCGCAGTGGCGTGCCACAAGGAAGCATTCTTGGGCCTGTTTTGTTCGTTGCTTAAATAAACGATCTGCCAGAAGTAGTGTCAAACGCCTGCTCCATATAGGCTTACGCTGACGACAGAAAAGTTTATAATACAGTGGAGGATACGTCAAATAAAGCACAATTACAAGATTATCTTAATTAATAGTTTAGGTAACTGGGATGATACGTGGCAGCTGCGTTTCAATACTGACAATTACTTCACCTCAGGAAGACAATGAACAGCAAGATTACAGTATTAGAAGCCATGGTTGCAACGAGAGGGTTATGATTGAGAAGTCGTGCGTGGTAAAAGATTTGGGAGTTTACGTTGACAAGAAGCTGAAATTTTCTAAGTTCATTGAAACGCTAGATAATAAATCCAACAAACTTCCTGGCCTGAGCCGACGCTCACATTATGAGGTCCTATAAAGCAATGAAGCTGTTGTTTGTTGCTGTCGTGCGTCCGAACCTGGAGTTGGAAACGCCTTGTGGTCACCGAAACTTGAAAATGACAAAAATTTAATAGAGAGTGTTCAAAGACGTGCAACATGGATAATTCCTGGATTACAAGGTAAGTCATATGAAGAAAGAGTAAAGATTGTGAAGCTTTCCAGCCTCTGTTATCGACGTCTGCGTGGGGAACTCATTGAAGCATACAAGTATATCTAAGGTTTATACAAGGTCCCAGAAGAATTACTAGAATTTGAAACAAGAATCAACACCAAGGGCCACGGCTATAAACAAAAAACTGCGATGCAACTCATCCACGCGACAAAATTTCTTCTCGCTTCGAATCACCGACGTGAGGAAAAGCCTCCCTGTTTACATCGTTGACGCTCCGAGTATAGACGAATTCAAGAACAAAATAGATAAGCCATTGAGAAATATATGTTCAGACTTGAAATGCCTAGCACAATATTGAACCCGTTGGAAGCCTGGTAGCTATTTCAAACTGCCGTCAGTAAGGAAAATATCTTGTCAAAGGACCTGTTTTTAGATCTCCTGTGGACAAGTCACGAAAAGTACAAGAATCAGCGACAGGCCACATCAGGCCTACTCTTCAACGCCGACATCACTATGTTATGATATGATGATATAATAAAACTGGGGAATTACAACTATCTTCGGACTGCAGCTATGGGTACTCTCTCTCTCAATGGGTATTCTCTTGAATTTCTATCAAATTAGTTTTCACTTATTTAGTAACACTGAAACATTTTTAATTTTAATAATTAGTTTAATTTAATTAGTTTACACTTATTTCTTAACAGCCTTTGTTTCAATTAGTTCATTCATGTGCAGTAACCAAAGCTAGTCAAGTTAGTTCAAACTTTACATGCAACTACTGCCAGTGATAGTTGATGGATAAATTAATTATTAGAGCTCCTTATAATACTGATTAAACCGACAACATTTATATCAGTGACAATAAATTTAAGCTATTTAAAAATAAAGAAGCTGTTTCAATAAGATAAATAAGCTATTTGAATAAAAATAATGATCCGTGCTGGTTCAGCAGTAACCAATAACCATTTATTTGACAATTCGCAATGTATACGATATTTAAGGGGAGCGTCTACCCTAAAATTGAAAATTTTTACTTTTTCGGTTTTCATACTAATTTTAAAGCTGACATTCTGCCCTATCCAACGGTACCACTGCCATCTCTCTACGTTGATTTATGATTTCACGACATTTCATGAAAGGGGGGCGGGTGGGGGAGTTCTTTAAGTAATTAGATAGGAACTAATTCTGTCTCTTATACACATCTAGTAGTGTNCCTGTCTCTTATACACATCTAGATGTGTATAAGAGACAGGTGCTGGTGAGTCATATCGGGTGCTGGTAAGTCAGTCATGTCGGGTGCTGGTGAGTCATGTCGGATGCTGGTGAGTCAGTCATGTCGGATGCTGGTGAGTCAGTCATGTCGGGTGCTGGTGAGTCATGTCGGGTGCTGGCGAGTCATGTCGGGTGCTGGTGAGTCAGTCATGTCGGATGCTGGTGAGTTCAGATATTCATGAATCCATCAAACAGACAATTTCCAATAGAATGCAAATACATGTATACGAATGACAAAAATATTTACATAAGGAAAAGGTCAGAAGCTAAATACTTCTTTTCTGGTTGTCATCAGGCCCAGGAAAATATTCTAGCTTGACCTTTATTTCGCAAGGCTGAACCCTACGAGTTTGTGGAAGCTGGGCACTCATTGTGCTGTGCTGCGCATTTACTGTGAAATGCTTTGCACGTACGTGTACATAAAATGTTTGTTTGGAAATTTGTACGTTATCGTTAGACAATAAGTTAATGACAAACATTGTCCTAAAATAAAATATCATAAGGGGTACAACGATCGAATGGTTATCAAATTTACGATTCAAAATAACGCAATTTATGAAAATAAATGAAGATTTAAAAAATATTTAGTTTCTAAAATTTCACATCTCTTTTCCTGGCTTTTCTCTAGTATTTACGAGCATGACATTATTTTTTTCTTCTGTTAATGTCGTTGATTTTAATCGCAAATATAAAAACAAGACTGCAGCAAATGGATCCAAAATTATATTCGTTAAAGTTAAAAATATGCCCAGCAGGTAATTGAGGTAGCAGTCAAACAATGACAGCGAATCTTTCGGTCTGGCCTCAATTGCATATTCAGATAGTAAGATCATGGTGGGTATTGAAAAACTAGTCCTGTGCAAAAACTAGCGTCCGATTTTTTCCTGGACTGACGACTTCGTCTTTAATCATAGAGTGCTGGCAGCGTTCTGCCTATACAGAGAAAAATTGTATATATATCCAATAAAAAAATGTATATATTAAGAAAAAATGTATATATATTCAATTCAAACTTGGGAGGTATTTGGCGCCACAACTAAAGTTCAAAGTTTAAAAAGAACTTTGAAATTACATTAAGCATACAGCCTTCGTATATTCCAGCTCTTCGACTTAATTGAAAACTAACTCATATTGGTTAACTTGGCAGGAAAAAAGACGGGCAACCTTACTAAATGTGTTTTGCAATGGATAGAAGTTGTTCTTAATGGATACAATTTGTTATCAGTGAAAAAAATAGCTCTTAATGGACGAAATTGCTGTCAATGGACGAAATTTGCTCTCAATTGATAAAGTTTGCGCACAATGGATAAAATTTGCACTCAACGGATAAAATTTGCACTGAATGGATAAAATATGTCACCTGCTGTCTTTCGTTCGCAGATGGCGCAGTTGTGGCTGCTGTTGGCTGTATCATCATCAAATGGACAAGCAGGAAAGCTGGAGTTCTTCACTAGTTCTCTACCCGCCCCTGGTCGTCACTACAAATTTCTCTTCCTCCTGCCTACTCCGCTGCCCAGTCACACGTTAACCGTGGCGCCCCTTGCGGTCGCTTTAGCGCATAGAGGCCATGAGGTATTGTAAAGAAGGCATAATATTTAAAATTAAAAATTTGGAACATGTGTAAGCTCATATAAGCCAGAAAATCGGTAAAAGGAGTCACAACCCTAAATGTATTTGTTTAATAAATTTTTTTTTAATATTCTGTTTTCTAAAAATCATGATTGAGTTTTTGAGTTTGATATGTCTACATCACATTGAAAAAAATGGGCACCATGTTTCCCTCTTACTTCCCAATGAATATTTTCACAAACCTTACTCAGCGACAGCGAACGAAAAATAAAGGGAATTAACAAACAATTTAGTGCAAGTGCTTGAAATTGACTTGAAAACAGGATTTATGGAAAGTTATTCTACGTATCATCGTCGTTTAATTTACATAAATTAAAGTTTTCTGTGTGCTTGAAAAAATTTTTTTGTCTCTAAACAACCTTATAAACTTGGCTGCTTGCAAAATTAGAAGCATTATAATTTTGAATTTATAAAAACATTTGTTAAAAAATAAAATACTCAACCTCATTGAAGTTTTGAGAATACGGAAATAAAATGCCGCGCGTGCATGTATGATTAAAAAATCCAGCAACAATATATTCAATATATCGTGCAACTTAAATGAAGAATATTTTCAAAGCGGGTCATGGCAAGCAAAAACATATTTTCCAATCTCTGCTGCATTGTTCTTGGCTTAAGTACTAAAAAAATCGACACCAAAAAACACAACTTCTCTTGACGCACCTAGGTTGTTGGGCACATAATAAAAACATGGCCTAGAAACTCGTTCATTATCTCAATAAGGTGTTCGCTTCTTATGTTTTTTAAAATTTATAGCCCAGGTATATAAAATGACAGGTACGGAATTCTATGTTTTTTTTTGTCAACTTGTTTTTCGACTCGTATGAGATAATGTTGAGGCAGCGCTCTCAAAAATAAATACAAAAATGATGATGAAATCGCCTGGCAAATGTCGTTGAAATATTTTAATTAACAGTTGATTTAGTCCAAGTCATGAACGTCGAATCAACGTCATGTGCTTGGTGGTAAGTATTTAATATGAATAACGAGATAACACGAATGATAGTATGAACGAATGAGATAACACGAATGATAGTATGAACTAATGAGATAACACGAATGATAGTATGAACTAATGAGATAACACGAATGATAGTATGAACTAATGAGATGATACGAATGATAGTATGAACTAATGAGATAATACGAATGATAGTATGAACTAATGAGATAATACGAATGATAGTATGAACTAATGAGATAATACGAATGATAGTATGAACTAATGAGAAATACGAACGATAGTATGAACTAATTTCACGCTATTCGGGTACTATCGATTGCATTCAGAGAAATGAAAGAAGCTTGTCCAAAAAGCGATGCACAGTTCCCCTCGTATAGCTCATTTTGACTCAGTTTGGCCCGCCAAAAGGCGATCAGTGTATGACACGTACACTCTCTGCTCTTGTCCATCTGTGGGCAAGGAAGTGTTTGGAAATTATAACCATCAATTTTTCTGAGTGCGGAAACGAAAAATTCACACCTATAAGAATATTCGTGATTGGTGAAGTGATTCGTTTTCCTCCTCGGCAGGTGTACATGTTGATCCATGTTGTACATTTTGTGCCTCGGCAGATGTACATGTTGTGCCATGTTGTACATTTGTGCTTCGGCAGGTGTACATGTTGATCCATGTTGTACATTTTGTGCCTCGGCAGGTGTACATGTTGTGCCATGTTGTACATTTTGTGCCTCGGCAGGTGTACATGTTGTGCCATGTTGTACATTTTGTGCCTTGGCAGGTGTATGTTGTGCCATATTGTACTTTTTGTGCCTCGGCAGGTGTATGTTGTGCCATGTTGTACATTTGTGCCTCGGCAGGTGTACATGTTGTGCCACGTTGTACATTTTGTGCCTTGGCAGGTGTATGTTGTGCCATGTTGTACATTTTGTGCATCGGCAGGTGTAAATTGTGCCATGTTGTACATTTTGTGCCTCGGCAGGTGTATGTTGTGCCATGTTGTACATTTTGTGCATCGGCAGGTGTAAATTGTGCCATGTTGTACATTTTGTGCCTCGGCAGGTGTATGTTGTGCCATGTTGTACATTTTGGGCCTCGACAGGTGTATGTTGTGCCATGTTGTACATTTTGTGCCTCGGCAGGTGTACATGGTGTGCGAGACGCCCGACGTCTACGATCTGCCTAACGTCACGTGCATCCACCACGATGTCGATATTATCAAACCCGAAATAACGTCATTCGGAAGTTCAATTTCTACATTAATTCATCTAACGAATATAAGTGCAGCTGTTGCGGAAAATATTGACCGAATCTTCACTTCCCCTCATGTACAAAAACTGTACAAAAGACGAAAAGAATTCGACTTCATAGTTGCGGAAGACGCGGCGGCGCTGGTGAGTTGACCTTTAATTAACTGAGAAAATTCGTTCACTTTCGATAAATTATTTAGGTTTGTAGTGTGGCATCCTCGTGGCGAAAACAAAATCAAAATTGCACTGAAATGTAAAAATAACTTAATGCATAACTGAAGAGCGAACAATTACTTAGAAATTAGTCATAAATATTGGTTAAGATACATAACATTAGAACGTACGTCTTGTAATGGATTCAGATAATTTTCTGTACCTTTATTTATGTATGAATGCATTTTCATATGCTTGCATCTCATCTATAAGCTTTTACTTGGTATATCAAAGCATACGCGATGCTTGGTTGCAACTTTTTGTACGAAATTTTCGTAAATTAAGAACCTGTACTAGAAAATTCCTACACAGGTGACAAATAGGCATTTTTAACAACTGTAGGAAGTTTCTCGATGGTCATTATTCTTCAAAAAAGCTTGTCATTTGGAGGAAAATACAAATACGTGTTAGCCTTAGTTCGAGGCAAATTGAGTGGCTAATCTCACAGTAAATCATATTAACAAATTCCTCCCTTACAATAAATCTTAATCAATTTCGACACTGACTGATTTGGAGCGCATTGAGTTCTTTAAATGGACCCATAATGGGAGAAAATGCTTTAAGATCAATATTCGGGACATACAGTTTAATTATTATACAAAATTGTCACCTGCTGACAATTCTTTTCTAATTCAAAGACTCATCTTGTTCATTTTAAAAAAGTGCACCTTCGTGCTTCTGGACGAGCTGTTAAATGTTGGGATCAATTCAATTAGAATAGAATAGAAGTGTCGGCATTGAAGAAATAGGCCCATGGTCTGTTGCCGATTCTTGAATTTTTCGTGACTTGATTAACAAGGGATCCGGCCTTTGGAAACCGATCTTTCCATAACTGAATTGCCTAATTTCACCAGGCTTAATTATGTTAACTCAAACAAATATTACATATGAAAATGCAATGGTAAGAATAATTGGAATTGATGAATTTAATATTGAAATCCGATACCATTTAATTAGTGACCCGCCAATCAAAATATACTGATAAGATTTCCTTCCATCGGGCGCTAGGGACTGGCTATGAGCTCGTAAAATAGAGTGTATGCTTATTCTTCAGCGGCGCTCTCTGCGTAGGACCGGCGGCAAGATTTCTCGTCAATTTCAAGTGTTGAAAAACTTCAAAGAGTTCAATCGCTCAAACTTTTCAGTATCGTCAACAGTTCATAATTTATACTACAGTTCATGAAGCTTAACGTGTTCGTTAGGACTAAATTGAGTGTATTACAAGAAAATTGTCTAATATGAGGTATATTTGAAAAATTTCGTCCTAAATTTCCATTTCGCTCTGTGCACATGCTTCTCAGTAGCATCTATACATCATCATGCATATAATACCTCAGCGATATGGCCATGCAATACGATTCTTCCATTTCACTATTCACTACCATTTTTCATAATGATTTTTTTTCGCTCTAGTGATATTAAACCAATGATATTTTGGATCATCACAGGCAATGTACCCGATCCTCCATGAAATGCCATTCGCCCTCTTCTCGACCACCTACCTCAACCCATGTCAGAGCGCCCGCTTCGGCAACGCGCAGAACCCAGCCTACGTCACGAGTGGAGTCTTCCATTTTCCTCAACCTTTTTCCATCCTGGATCGCTTCAAGAACGTTCTCTCCACAGTTGTCATGTGTTCAATATATCATTGGATGACATATCAAACTGAAAAAGAGGTAAGACTACAAGTAACATCATATATTTCGTTGAGCTTTCCTTACCCGATATCTATAAAAGTAATTCACGAGGCCAAAAGCACGGCTAATAGTGGCGGTCATTAAAGAACTAGTAAAGATATCATTACAATATACATTTTATTGTAAAAGACATCACCTAAATTTTTGTATCACTTAGTTCTAAAAATGACATCGGATAAATGACGGCCCTCATTTTAATGCATTCAGTTAGTAGATTTTTGAAGTTCCGTTCAACACGCAAAGGCATATTGACAGGTAAGTGGGCGATGGCTTCGCGTATATGTTGTTCTTCAAATGAGGTAGGGTCCTTTGACAGTCATTGTAAACAATTGATTTAAGATAACCCCATAAAAAATCACACGGAGCCAAATCGGGGGATCTGGCTGGCCAAAGAAGGTCAACTCTCGAGGAGATGAGGCGCTCTGCAAAATGCTGTCTCAGAAGAGCCATTGAACATCGCGTTGTGTGGGCCGTGGCTCCGTCATGTTAAAACCAGACATCCCTGATATTCAATTCAGTCAGTTTTTTTCAAAAAAGCGTCAATCATTTGCGTGCACCGAGCTGCAGTCAACGTTCATTTTCCTTGAAGAAATAAGGGACAATTATGCCGGCTCTTGACACCGCACACCACGCAGTTAAGCGTTCACAATGAAGTGGCCGCTGATGGTGTTCACGCGCTGACTTCCAGGCCCTCTTGTATTTATACCTCTACATGCCCTAAATGTGCTCACACACGTAACAAAAATTTCCAATCAGGAACCCGACCTGAAGTACGAATACGGAACTGAGTACGGAATGCTCGTTGAGTTGCGATAATGGAACGGCCATTAGAATAGAGCGCCTCAACAGCAAGCGCACGCTGCTCACTTGTCCAATGCATGGCGGCAACTGACTAGGCGGTACACAAAAACTACATGACCTTGCCTTTTATATTAAATACCCCTCGCCCTTTTCCTATAACAACTGGCTACTTTGAGCCAAAAGTGTCATGTTGTCCGCGTGCCGCTTACTGATATGTAACCATATGATTTTTATTTCACATCGAGTTCGGTCTTCGTGAGAGAGAGTTTTTGGTAACCGCTAGGTCTAATCTCATTATTCAAAAGGGACCTTTTTCACCCAGTTTTAACCATCAATTCTCTTCACATTCGTGGTACCAGAGGTAATTTTGTGTCAAGAAGAGAATTCACGTTGACAGGGATTTTTGACGGGCCAAATATAGTACGACTCAAGTTCAGTTGTGGAATAACACGAGTATCGTTTCGGCTCCATTTTCGCAAGCACTTTCCGGCTTTTGACAACATCAACAGTGAACTAATTTATTCTATATAAATTCGAACATTATAATTTTAGGGAAGCCTTAAGTCCTACTAAAATAGCTTGTCCCTCATTTCACTTTCGGATCAACTTTTCGGCTGCTGACATGAACCAACTTTTCCCTTTTGAGTTTAATATTATCATTTCAAGCCTAAGTACTATTATTATATACTATATTTTATTTATAATTTTTGCCTCAAGTCCTGCTAAAATAGCATGCTTCTCACATCACTTCCAGGTCAACAAGCACTTCTCGGAGCTGCCTCCCGTGTCTGAGTTCGAGCGCAACTCCAGTCTTCATTTCGTGACGGTGAACCACGCCTTGGACGGCCCTTTGCCGCTGCTTCCTAACCAGGTGGCGGTGGGGGGTCTCGTGCTGCGCCCTCTACAACCTTTGCCTAAGGTGTGACACTTTGCCTAATGTAGGACCATTTTTTGCTAATATACTTGGTCCCTTAGTCTATATTAATGTCTTGGTTATCATTGTTATAAAAACCATATTCTTGGCTCATGCCCCATTTCATTTACAGTTTTTAAGAAATGCTACGAAAAATGCTACTCCCTTTGCCAAAAGAAGGACCATGATTTCAAAACAATAGATCGTTGGCTCGCTGCCTGATCATGAAATTCTCTTTGGTGAAAAATTGAAATTAAGTCAATGAATTCGTCCTCACGAAAGATTCCAACGTGCAAGAGTTCCGGTATTAAAAATTGCTGAATTATTCATCTAGAGATTTACATATAACACAATTTCATGTTGTTCATTATACTTGTATTCCTGAAATTTTTTAACTGAAGCTGGAGCTGGTCCCAAAGACGGTTTCAATCAAAATATTGCTTTGTGTTTTCTTAGCTTCTAAATTCTTGGTAAATTTATGACGGTAGTGATATAGATATAATTTTTTGTGTCTTGTCGAAAATGAATTTAATTAATATGATATTAAGTACTGCTAATTAATTAAACCTGAAAAACAATAAAAGGGGAAATTTTTCTTCTCAGGATATTGCTGAATTCCTGGCAGGCGAAGAGCCAGTTATTTACGTGGGCTTTGGAATTTCAGTATTTAACAGCAACTCAATTTCTGCGGACAAAGAAGAATTGTTAATTGCCGCGCTGTCCAAACTCCCTTACAAAGTTATTCTCAAACTTGCTGGACAAAAACCCAAGAAGATTGGCAACATTCTCTTTCACAACGATGTACCTCAGCAAACAATTCTAGGTGAGAATTTCAGTAAATACTTCTATAAAAACCGGATGAAAATTATTTTTCCAAGGTAAAGATTTTGTAAGGTTTTTGTTAATGTGAAGTGTCTGTAAAACAGATGCAAAGCTTTATAAATTCGATGAGAAGCATGAAAACGCCATCCAATGATTCTGCCACCTTCCTATAAAACTTGAATGAGTGCCGTCTTTCTCCACTCGCTCCATCATCGCTGAATCGCTGGCTCCACGACATTAATTTTTGAATGGGTATTTTCATACTAACACTCAAATAAGACGCAGAAAACTGAAATTCAACACAGTGAAATTGCATGGAATGTACATATAGTTGGTGAATTTCGATATGTACGTATAGTAAATTGACTAAATGTTATCGATTAAATACATGTTTTGGAATCCTTGCTAAACTGGAAGAGAACATTCTAAACAAAACCTTTTTGTAGAATGATTATCAGTTCTAAGTAACAACTCAATCTAAATAAATGTGATCTTCACTCTGCGATAGATAATACGTGTGATATCCGTCTGTATGTCTTTTAGTGGAAGTTTTAACAATCTTTCAACCTTATTTATGCTTTAAATTATTCATTGATCATCTAATGCGTAATTGCGCGACATATATTTTCAGCTCATCCGAATGTTAAAGTTTTTGTGAGTCACTGCGGCTTAGCTGGTACCCAAGAAGCGGTCTACTACGGAGTACCTATTATCGCACTACCAGCAATGTGGGACCAGTTGAAGATTTCAAATTTCCTCCAACAAGCTGGTGTGGCCGTTGCACTTTCATGGGATACGTTGACGGAAGAAGATCTTCAGGACGCCATTGAAGAGGTCATCCTTAATCCCAGGTGAGTTGAGCCATGGTTGAATTAATATTAATATTATTAATTCAACCATGGGTTGAGCATTGTTGTGGGAGAGCATCCAACTTACTGAACCTGTATGTTGTCCATAAATAAATGATTAACGATAGAGGAATTATTAGTATCCTATATTAGTATAAATTTGTATCAATTCGTATTATTTGTGCTAAAACTATCGATGTGATGTTGCAGTCTGAATTTATTTTAAATTATTATATTTATTTTATATTACAATTTATATTTATAAATTATACAGTGATTTATTTGTTCTTCATAACAGGAGGGCACTTCATTATTATTATATTTTTCTTTAGTATAACTAAGTTATTTATTATTGTGTCAATAATAAACCATATAGTTGATAATAATAATTCATTAATTTATCCAGAAACTTGCCGACATTTTTTCACTATTATGAAACAAGGTTGCCTGACGGTCTTTTTTTTCGCGAAAATTTCGCGATTTAGTTTTTTCAATTGCATTGGCCGGCTAAAATTTATGACAAGGGTTCTTTCTAAATAAATTAAACAAATAAATTGAATTTTTACTCCTGAACCTACAAATATACTAGTATACATTGAGTTATAGGTATTTTTTGTCTTTTTTGTTCGCGGACTTGGCCGTTTTTTATGCCATCTGGCAACCCTGAATTATGTACCACTACGTCCTGGAGAAATACACTTCGTGGTACGCAAATGTACCACTTCAGAGTCAACGTATTGAGCATGTTCATTGAAAAGCACGGAGGCAATGAAACGAGCATTTAAGATTTTCCAGTATTCCTCATTCATGTGTAATTTAAAAACTCAATCAAACTTTTCAACGGTGCCTTATTGCTCAATTCAGAGCGAACAGAGAGCACGTTTAATGACAGATTCAATTGTATTTAACGTGCCTATAACTAAAATTTATTGGACTTACCAATCAGACTGTAGCGGAAAATTATGAACAATCGCACTGTAATATTAAACAACGCTTCATATGCTTGCTTCTCTGACATGATGGCTTTTTTTACCGTGGATAATTTGCTTTTCAGCTATCGCAAGAAAATGGCGGATATGTCTCTGATATACAGAGACCAGCCAGACACGCCTCTGGACCGAGCTGTCTTTTGGTCAGAGTACATGGCTCGCCACAAGGGGGCACCCCACCTGCAGTCCCCGGCCAGACGTCTCTCTTGGATTACTCTCCTGCACGTTGATCTCATAGCCATCACTTTGTTAGCGATATGCTCTACATTTTGGGCAGTGAAATATATTTTAAAGGCAATCAAACGACGCAATAGAAACTTAAGTATTGTTAATAAGAAAAAGACATCTTGAAGACCTCGAACCGTTTTCGATGAACCTACACGAACGTGCGAAAAAAACGTACCTGATATTATTAATAAAGGGTATTCAATTTCTAAGCATCAGTGGTGGTTACTGAAATCTCATCATATTTGTTTCTGGCTGTAAATTAATTAGAATGTAAATCTAAAAACAGAAATACTCTGTTTTATCCCTACTTTTTAGGTGCGTGATATATTTGTGATAGTGATATTATAATATATTGTCACTTAAGCTTGAGAAAGAAACTACTAGCAACATCACTCATTAACTGCTGCTTCACTTTAATTATTATTCGTCTTACAACCTCTACTGGAAACATTACAATTCTTCATGATTAATTAAATATTCAAGAAGAACATTTTCTACCATGAAACTTAAAACTCTTCTATGGAACCTTTTAGCGCATTTTCTTATTTATTGAAAAAATGCCCTATTGGGCTCGTCATGTCCGTCTGTCTGTCTGTCTGTCCGTGACTTCACGTTTTCGTCGACGAGAAAATGCGCTCTCTGTCACTCACTGCAGTGATTGCTGAGTTATATTTTTTTAATCACTCTTCTTCAAGAAATGCTACTCTGGAAAACAGTGAGTAATCCACGAGTCGAGGGAACATGCTATCGAATATGAAGCTGCGACTCATACGTTTTGGCCTAACGAGTAACGGACGTGTTGAGTGAGCTAACATTGCACAAATATTCAAGCAGAAGTGCAAGCTTGAGGCCTAATCAAAGCTCGGTTATAAGCGGCATAAGAAAAATAGTATCCTGAGTTAACATAACAGCCTAAGTTCACGTAGCGGCCTAAGTACACGTAGTCGCCTATAAGTACACGAAGTGGCCTAACTAAATGAAGCGGCCTAGATACATGTAGCGGCCTAGATACACGTAGCGGCCTAAATACACGTAGCGGCTTAAGTAAACTAATCGGCTTGAAAACACGGTGGCCTACGCACAGGTAGCGGTCTATGCACACGTATAATGGTATCGTTACACGTAGAAGCAAAATTTGATTGGAGACCAGAGAATTAGTTTTATGAGTAATTTTCGTATTACTTTTTATTTTATATGGAACAGAATTTCTCGTTGGCATTGCGTAGATCGAAAATCAGGTTACAGAAAGACATTGTTTTTAATTTGCTAACAACGTTGCCAATATATCAACATTCATTATCAAGTTAAAAGACGCATTGAGCCATGAAATTTGGACTGACAAAATCATGTAAATAGGTACTACTAAAAATAAAAATTTGGCTAGATATAATTACAAAATCGCAAAAATGGATGTTGCTCATATATCGAATACAAAAAATTACTCCGAAAACTGTCAATGCGGTGCCGCTCTGTATCATGTAAACGTAAATACCGTCTGTGGGTGTGGTATCCTTTCTCTGCCACGGAAGAACCGGGAGAGAAAGTTCCGTACATATAGATAAGGAACTGTTGTTGCTTTCACTGCATGAGCTTAAGCTAAATGCCTCACGGAGGGCAGCGTGTGCCTTCTACAGAGCGGCCAGTCTTGATGCATTTGTCCTCACCGAAGCAGTTACGTGTGGGACTTCGACTGGGACGTAGGACGTGAAGTTCTTATTAGGGACGTAAGACGTATATGTCCTTAGTAGGGATGCAGAACGTGGGGAAAAACTTGGGTATGACGTAGGACGTGTAGGTCCTTAGCTAAGGATGTAGTACGTGCATGTCCTACGTGTAAGTCCTTTGGTAGGATGTAGGACGTGAATGTCCAGTAGTTTAGAACTGAGATCGCGGTTCTAACGAGTCAATAGCACTTCTATTGAAAATAATTATCTCGCATGAAGCCCACACCCGAAATGAACTGTCAATAATATACTATCGATTTCACAATGCGAGATAATGTGAAGATAGACACTGTAGATATAACTTCGAGAAACATTTCCTATTGGCAGAATTTTAAATCAAACCTATTTTTTAACGAATAGATCTATAGGAATTTCTAAACTAGATTCATAACGGCTTTTGAAATACTTGCATTAAGCCGTTTTCCAGTAAATAATCATTCTAAGTTACATGTGAATGTTCAGTGTATGGCTCGAAACAACGGAAATCTAGACCCAAAATATTCATTGTTATTTCGTTAAACAGCGGCTAATGGAAATTCAGTCAAATTGGCCTTATACTATTGACTTAAAATAAAACAAAATAATACCTTAGGATACTGAAAAGTGTTCAGTATTAATTTGAGATGTGGTAAATTTACCAGAGCTTTCCTAGTATTAGTAGCTGCACATGCAAAAAATATTTAAAATCGATGTTCAGAAAGTTAAAATGAATAAGAGATTATCAATTTTCAGCTGTTGACAATGCTAGTATCCTACTGTCAATAGCTACTGGAATTCTCACTATCCCATGACAATAGTATTTCACTTCATTGTTGAAAGTTTTAACTTGAAACTGGAAACTTTCAACCTTATAATTGTATACTTCTGATTTAACTTTTGGTTCAAGTCTGCTCATGGAACTATTAGGTAGATGTTATATAAGTACTACCTGAAAGTTTCGAACGCGGAACTCCTGCTCCAATATCATGAAGGGACTGGTGAGTAACATATAATAGTATAATATTATAGTGATGTCAACTATGATTAGGCCAAAATGGCCGATAGCCTATTCCTAACCATGCGGTCACCTTGCTGATTTCAAAAAGGATTTTCACAGCTGGTTGTGGGTCTCGAATACCCAACTCGCTTTCCTAATTTTGGTGATCTCAACCACTCGGCGACTTTGAGCTATGATGTTATAAGCAGCCAAGTCAAATAACAAATTACTTTGACTTTATTTGCGGGTTAACAAAGTGCCAGAAAATATTATAATAAATCAGGCTCTCAAACTGAAAATAAGCTATCAATATGGATACAATTCTAACAATAAAGCATACAAAACTATAGTTACTTAGAAAGAATTACCTTCGATATTACCTTTGAATTTGATACTTTGCCCTCAACTACTAATGCTCCTAGAATGAAAGTTAAGGTTTGCCTCTTTAATTAACTCGGGGCGACTTTTTTGTGTGATCGTGGTATCCAGGATACAGGAACCGGTTTTCGCGCTACAGTTCACATTCGAGGGACTGCCCATGCATGTCGGGAGTGCTTGTAACAGGTTTCCTACTGTGGATTGTCTGCATTACTTCATTTTTTACAATGGAATGTCTTTAGTAGGCTTAATTAGATTTCCGAAACTTGGATTGATTGTAACAGTTAGGTTTCCTACGAGAAATTTTTCAATTTCCGTTTCAAAAATTCATTTCTTGGGGGGGTTAAAGTGATTTCCAAAAACTTTCATAGTCAGGATAAAAATTTTCCTATTGCTTTCCGGCGCATTGCCAACGATCTTCGGTAATTACCGCAATATTGTCATTGGTTCGCAGATGGCGCAGTTGTGGCTGCTGTTGGCTGTAACATCAACAAATGGACAAGCAGGAAAGCTGGAGTTCTTTAATAGTTCTCTACCCGCCCCTGGTCGTCACTACAAATTTCTCTTTCTCCTGCCCACTCCTATACGCAGTCATACGTTAACGGTGGCACCTCTGGCGGTCGCTTTAGCAAACAGGGGTCATGAGGTATGGAATTAGTACAGGGCCTATAATTTCAAAAAAAGTTAAGAGATCGTAAGTTCATCAGCCAATCATTGACGGCCTTTCAAGCGGCCACCAATCATAGACAAGAAAATAGAGCGTAAGTACTTACATTCACTTAGCGAGTTTTGAAAGTATGGCCCCAGGTGTGCAATTTAATTATCAAATGGCTATACTTATTAGGACATTTCTAAGAGCATTAAGAACATAAAAATTACAGCTTTTCACAGTGAAATTAATTTATCATGAACATGATGTAGCCATTTTTTGTATTTTGATAAAAAATTTGTAACAATTTTATCTTCCTAATAATAAAACCCAAATCAAATTCGAGCTGCCCTCGTTTCACGTTTCAATAAAAATGTTCTTCAACAAATAAAATGAATGCCAACTCCAAAAGTGATCGAGTGAGAAACATAATACTTAACATGAATCTAGATCTACAAAACTTATTTCAGTATGGCCAATTATCCTGACAAAATACCGGAGCATTTTTATTTGCGTTCAGGACTAATAAATTTCATAGCATATGCGACCTAATCGTATTTATAACTTTATTGAGAAATATATGGTACGTACTGTGAGGTTACCAACTGATTTTTGTGATAGCTTGCCTTTAACATAGTCTTCGTGGACGGAAAATGAAGTAATTTAGCTACCCTAGAAATACAAAAAATTTATAGCGCCATTGAAAATAAAACAATTGTGTTGCTCATAGAAAAACGTTCTTTCACAGCAACCCACCATCACAGGATTTTGAAATGACGTAGATTGAAAGATTTTATAACAAAATCAACTCGCAATCAACGTTCTTTCAACGTCATTTGGAAATAGAGGGAAAATACTGCCCCTTTTCTACTCGGCAGGTGTACATGCTGTGTGAGACGCCTGACATCTACGAGCTGCCTAACGTCACGTGCATCTATCATGACGTCGTTCTTGATAGACCAGATTTCAATTCTATTGGAAGTTTGAGCTCTGCTATGGGTCACATGATGAATATAACTGCAGCTATCGGAGATAATGTGAATAGAATCTTCTCATCCCCTCAAATAAAGTCACTGTATCAAAAAAGGAAAGAATTCGACTTCATTGTTGCAGAAGACATGGCTTGGTTTGTGAGTATCTGTTCGATTGTATAAGGCTAATGTAAATGCGAGTAAATTTTGTATTATCTCTGTCTCAAAATGACGGTATCAAAATATTCTACTGTATAAGGCTGGTACCATACAAAGACTTTAAAAAGTTAAATGTGGTTATACCAAAGCGCGTCAATTTAAATATATTACTTTTAGATTCAAACAGTCTTTTAGATATTAACTAGCCTTCTTGGAGTCGAGATAGAAGAGTTTAACGAAGGAGGATTTATTTGGAAGATGGAAAGGCTATAAATAACCTCTAATTCTACATCTCCAGTATCTATATACAATTCGCATCTAACGTATATTGCATTGGTGCGCTCGGTAATTTCAAGTTTGAATAAATAAGAACTTTGATAGATCAATTATACATAGTAGTATTTGATATTTGAAAGGGTGCACGAGAAATATTACCCATAATTCGCAAATAAATTTGAACCACGCTTTTTTGGAACATGAATTTGCTGGAGGATTTGAATACATTTAACGGGTACATGCATTATCATTTTTCATGCGTGTAGATTGTCGGTCGATCAAGCTCCTATTTATAAAATGTTCGCTGATTTAAATTTTGTGAATCTAGAATCTATTGTCATACGTTGACGATCCAAAAAAGTACGTTTACTTTGTCGATGAAACCTAGTTGCGAATTTATCGCATTTAACTGTGCATGCGTATTGAAAAGTAACATAACTTAATACAATTCAACAAAATAAGAGAAACATAACTCTAAAAGTGTATCCAATGCATTGTACATGTACCCATTCGCTCAGATCACAAAAAATGTAATAAAAAATAACAACAATTCTAAACACGGACTTTCGCTCCATTCGTCGTATTCAATTCTTTTTTGATTTGTTCCGTTCCAGGCCATGTACCCCATCCTCCATGAAATGCCCTTTGCAATCTTTACGACGACCGTCTTCAACCCCTGCCAGAGCGCCCACTTCGGCAACCCACAGAACCCTGCTTACGTCACTGGTGGAGTCTTCCATTTTCCTCAACCTTTTTCTATCCTTGATCGTTTCACAAATCTTTTCTCAACGGTCATCGCGTGTTCAGTATATCGGTGGATGACGTATAGTATTCGGAAAGAGGTAAGATGTTTTCAGCAGAATTTAACCCATGATTCAAGAATTAAATCGATACTGACCAGCACTGAACATATTGAAAATGCACATTGGATTATTGCCGACCAATGAAAACTAAATGTAAACTGTAACATAAAATGGTGAATACTGTTCTATTTAATATCTTTCTTCTCTTTGGCAAATTGAAGTTTCCGAAATATATGATATTTGATTTGATATGTATATAACCAATCAATTTTGTTGGATTTGAGAGTTGAGAGTAACGATTAAAGAAAACTTCACTACGCAATATTAAATACTTATCAGCTCTGTGACAAGCAGCTCCCTAGTCCCTAAAGCTTCAACCTTAATAACAATTCATTCCTTCATACCATGCAAGATTGTGATGTAATACATGTTATGTCTTTTCAATTGGTATTGAAATTACCACATGCTTTTCTAAAATAGCTAGTCCCTCACTTCACTTCCAGGTCAACTTTTCGGCTGTTGACATCGTCTATGTGAACTAATTTTTTCCCTTTGAGTTTCAATATTATAATGTCAAGTCCAAATACTATTACTATATCGCATATTCTATTTTTAATTTCCAGGTCAACAAGCACTTCTCGGAGCTGCCTCCCGTGTCTGAGTTCGAGCGCAACGCCAGTCTTCATTTCGTGACGGTGAACCACGCCTTGGACGGCCCTTTGCCGCTGCTTCCTAACCAGGTGGCGGTGGGGGGTCTCGTGCTGCGCCCTCTACAACCTTTGCCAGAAGTACGTACATGGTTTTAAAAAGTCTTGGAGTCACAGAATGATATAGGCATGAAATTTCTGCATCTGGAATTTTAAAATCAAGCTTTAAATTTTGCCCACAAGATCAAGTAAAGCGAGCAAGATGTCTGGTCTTCACTCATTAAAGAGAAGAGACTAAATTCTAAGGTATATGACACTTTACCTAGAACTTCGGAGTTAGGAAACAGTTTAAATTTAGGACTATTAACTGACGTATTGATCTACATGACGTTAAAGAGATTGAAGCTAAAACAATTTGAATGAACCACAATCTGTAGGCATGTCTGTTAGGGCTTAAAAGCTTTCAAATTTTTCGACAAACTACAAAACTATATGAAACGACTTCGACCTGAGAAAGTATATAAAGGAAGTCATCAGAATATGTATTGAGAATTTAGTTGCCGTTTCCTTTTCTTTGAAATTCATGATTCCCAAAACCTAATTAAATACCACCGCACCGGTTAAATGATACTTTAATACCTTTAGCAAAAAGTTTTCTAAATCAATCACTCAACAATAAAAGGAGTTAGCGACGAAATTTGGTCGATAAATAGTAATTCTAGGTCAAATATAGTAATTTGACTGCGGGTTTCAACAAATTGTTTCAAAGGAGACTCGAGCATATGTAATTCCAGTAGTCGTGTTTTATATTCTAAAACGTACCTTATTAATAATGACAGACATGAGCGTGTAATGTATTCTTCTGATTAAGATAGTTTTCCGGTGTATACATTCCATCATTTACTTATGACGTCCAAACGAAAAGGATTTAAATTTACGAATTCGGTTGATGTCTATTTTTAAAATCTTCTCCATGCCGGTTTTTTCCTGAAACTTTATAACTCTTAATTTAAATTCTTAGGACATTCGCGACTTCCTAGCAGGCGAGGATCCAGTTATTTACGTGGGTTTTGGAATAACAACAATTAAAAACGACTCAATTTCTGCTGACAAAGAAGAATTGTTAATTGCCGCGCTGTCCAAACTCCCTTACAAAGTTATTCTCAAACTTGCTGGACAAAATCCCCAGAAGATTGGCAACATTCTCTTCCATAACGATGTGCCTCAACAAACAATTCTAGGTAAGAATTTCTGTAAATAAATACGTATTAAATAATTTATCTGATTCGATTTCAAGTGCGCTGAACACTACGACTAATATTGGTATCCACAAAAATTGCATGTTTGTATAATATATCAAATCTGATCGTTCTATGGAATATTGAATGATGCTCATGTGCGAATTCGTATATTCTTATTTCATTAGCTCATCGGAATGTCAAAGTGTTCGTAAGCCATGGGGGCTTAGCTGGTACTCAAGAAGCGATATACTACGGAGTACCTATTATCGCGATACCAGCTATGTGGGACCATTCAAAGATAGCATCGTACCTCGAGCAAGCTGGTGTGGCCATTGCACTTTCGTGGCCTACGTTAACGGAGGCAGATCTACTCCACTCCATTGAAAAAGTAATGCAAAATCCAAGGTGAGATAATGGAAATCCTTCAAGAAGTAAAAGCCGGTGCGTAGTATCAGCATTTCGAACTATTGTTTCAAAAAATTTAAGCTGGAAAGTTAAATAGATTTTTTCGCTGAATTGATGATTCTTAAGCTTAATTCGTCTTGGGTGTAGGGTTCTATAAAGTTTCCGTTGGGTGCATGTACAAGTTTTTACATCCTAATATCAGTGTGTAACATAACATACCATAGTGATCGCGGCGCTGAAGCGTAGGCCTGATGTGGCCTGTCGCCGATTCTTTCCCTTTTCGTGCTTGTTCACATAAGATCTAAAATCGTGTTATTTGACCGGATCTTTGCATGACTGACGATAGTTTGAAGTAGCTACTAGACTTCCACCGGGTTCGATAAGGAGCTAGGCATTTCAAATCTGAACATATATTTTT